GAAAGTGGAGAGGACCTTCTGGAGGTGCTCATGCAATCAGCCAGCTCCTCCACGCCAGCATCTGTGCTGGTTACCTAGATCAGAGAGGGAGCATCACTAGCACCTTCATCTCAAGTCAGTCTCATCCAAAACCCTTTGGGGCCTTTTATTTCCACAACTTAAAAATCAGTTTCCAGGGCTGGAGGTGTAGCTCGGTGGTAGACAGCATGCCTGGAGTGCACAAGGTCGATTCCTAGCGCTACAAAACCATACAATAAAACAAAAATCAATTTCTCCCTCTTTAAAAAATAAAAATAAAACCCATTTTCAGTAATGCACTCATGTGTTCAGGGCCAGGGAGGTGAATTTCTTTAATCCGCTGCACCTCAGAAACAAACAAAAGCTATTCAAATGAGGAAATGAAGAAAAGGGTGCAAACACTCTGAGGATCTTTTTATAGTACTGGAGTGTGAGAATGTTAATTAAGGAACCTCAGAATGGAGAGGATCTGAGAAAAGAAGGAGCAAGGGTTTAATTTTAGGTGTTGCTTCATCAAGTTAAAAAAAATACCAAGTCCCTTGACTGGCTTGTAGTTATTCTCAGGAACTCTATGGGCCCCACAAACCTCCAGGTGAAGCTGCACTGACTTGATGAAAAGTTCTCACTTAAGGACCTGTAATAAGAAAGAGCATAAATGAGCAATCTTGGAGCATGGAATGAACATTGCAGGTTGATGGGTATCATTTCAGCAGTGTCCTACAGAGAGCCATAATCTCCCATTTTTCAAACCAGAGGTCGAGAGCTTAGCAGTTCCAAAATCCAGTCCAAAGACCAGGGCCCAAAACCCAGTCTCACCCTGTGTTTCAGGAGCTATCCATGACTTTCAGGAGAATAATGCTCCAACTATACAAGCGTTTCTACCCTTCCTGGGCTCCCCATTCTGCTGGTTACGAAGTTTGTCATCTCTTCATGCCCTGCTGAGAGCCATTTTTATTTATATCTTATCATAATCATTAATGCAGATTAATTGCAGAAATTAATGGGTTTCACTGTGACATTTCCATACACACAATTTATGTGCTGTCCCTCCCTTCTACGCTCTCCTGTCCTCCCTTCTCTCCCCACTTCTTGCTAGTTCCCTCCACCTCCCTGAAGACTCCCTCCTCCTCTTTCAGTTTGTTTATTTCCATATGAGGATAAACATTTGATACTTGCTTTTCTGTACTTGCCTTCCTTCATTTAACACGATGTTCTCCAGTTCCATCCATTTTCCTACAAATGACAGAATTTCATTCTTCTTTATCACTGAAAATACTCCATACATGCACCATATTTCCTTTATCCATTCATCAGGTGAAGGCACCTAAATCTTGGCTATTGTGTGCAGAATTCTGCAGGTGCGGGGGGCTGCAATGCAGGATGGTTAAGCGCCGTCACTTAGCTAGTGAGTAGGACAGCTGGGTCTTGAGCTCAGCTTCCTGTCTGCCTCCTAGGCCAAACTGTTCACACTGTGCCACCAAACAGCAATGTGCAGAAGCATCAAGTGGGCATCAAGTGGGCACAAGGGAATCCAGGCGAACAGTCAGGGACCAGCACACCCGGTTCTCATTCTGGACTCTGCTCTGGAGCCCAGCCGTGTCCCAAGCCCTGGTGGTGGCAGGAGTGACCCTGATCCGTTCATACCCAGAGTAATCACATCCCTGGGATGCAAGCCACCGAAATCCATCCAATCTAACACTGCAATGGGAACTTCTTGAAAGTATATCTAGGGGTCACAGAATTGGCAAGAAACCCAGAATATCTAGCGGGAAGGAGACAGTTCCAGAGACTGCTGAATTGAAATGAAATGATCTTTTGTCAGACAGATTGGTCAGGGGTCTCTTTGTGTCTCTGTTCTGATGGCCCTGGCTTTGGTCAGAAGGTGCCCAGTGGGGAAAAGATAATTTTGGGCACTCTGAATGGCATGTCCTCAGATCATGCAAAATACCAGGATTGCAAACAAATCCCAGCAGGCAGCCCCTGAACTCTCTGCACTTAGCCCCAGCACCCCCATGCCCAACAGATTCTTCCTACAATCAACACTTTGTATTGCATCTTCCCCAGCTGCACTGGAAGACCCTTAATGACAGGAATTGGAGCCTTGATATTTCTGTTTCCAACACCACATGGTGCAAAGCAGCATTTTCCAATACAATTCTTGCTTATTCTGAATCTAAAATATCTTCATGTGCCACATAATGACCTTTCAGTCAATGACCGACCATATACACAATGTGGCCCCATAAGATTCGATGGCCTGGTGACATCATAGCCATCCTAGTACAGACTATGGTGTCTGGAGCACAATGAAACTGCAAAACGATACACTTCTCAGGACCAACTCTATCATTAAGAGATGCACAGCCATGGAGGTTTCCTTTTAAAAATGAATGGATCCAGACTTTTAATGCAATGAGGTAAAAATGGCTGGCGACCACCAAGTATGCATGTTATACTTGCAAGGTACCAGAATTTGACCAAGGGACAGAAAGATAAGTATGTTAAGGACACATGTAGGCTTTTAACAAAAGCCAAAATGTAAGAACAGTTCTATTAAAAATTCAGATCTCAGAGTGTACTACAGAGGTATTTTTAAAGGAGGAATTCACCCTTTGTCCCTAATATCCTTCAGTGGTGCCCCAGACCCAAAGCCCCTTTGAATGGACAGAATTTTGTCTGCTTCCTGCCCTCTTAAACCTTTCCCTTCACTTCACTCACTCTGCAGCATTTCAGTCTGTTTCTTTCTACAAGATCATTCCCTTCACCTAAGTGTTGAGCTCTGGCTTCTATGTTGAATAAAGTAACAAACTACTCTTTACTCCACACCCTCTCCAATTTTCATTCATTTTTTTTTTCCTGCTTCCCTCTAAAAAAAACTCTTTCTTACCTCCATATCACTCTTTAACCCATTCCCTTTGGGCATCTATTCTCACCTCACCAACTGTTGTTTGTCAAGGTCAGCAAGTGGATTCCACGCTGCCAAATCTGCTGCATGCTTCTGCACATGTGGTAGCAAACTTGTAGCATTGGCACTCAACACAGCTGATCATACCCTCCTTTCTGTAAAAGACGCGGCACCCTACACTCCCGCAGTGACCTCCGCCTTACCAGCTGTTCTCCAGTCTGCATGTGTGATGTTCGACCAAACCTCTGAGTACTGGAGAGCTTCAGGGGTGCTTCTGAACTCATCCACTGATCCATGATCCAATCACCCCTATGATCCAGTTGCCACATCAGACTTTTGGGGGACATTTTAGATCTAAACCATAACAACTGTCCATTGATTCTGTTTCTCTATGATCCTGTTCTGTGCCTTTATCATAATTTACATATTAATAACTACAATAGGTATAGTTCCATGCCTGCCTCTTCCCTACAACTGAAGATTTCTATATCCATCAGCTTTCAAAGGCCCATTATTAAGTATCTCTCAGAAATAGGACTCTTTGGTCACCACATGCACACACACACACACACACACACACACACACACACACACACAGACTTGTTCCTTCCCAGCTTCTCTCATCTCGATAAATGTCACCCCTATCCTCCCAGATGCGCAAGGTGAATCTCTCCCTGATCTTCACCTTCTATATCCAAATCATCCATAAGTCCATCTTACTGGTAGACAGTACCACTCTATTAATCAATTTCCCATTCCTAGACATAATGCCTGACATCCACAACTTAAAGGAGGCTCATGTTTTAAGTAGATTCAGTCCATGGTCAGCTGACTATAAGGCTGTACCTTCTAACAGCACATGAACTACTGAACTCATCTGCTGATGAGTCTAGCACCCCTATGATCCCCAATAGGGTTTCTCCATCTCCATCTCCACCACCATCTTCACCAATCCATCACTCCCCATGCCCACTGAAGAGCCTCTCTTTCCACTTCTCCTCACCATTCTTCATACTGCCCAATGTTCCTGCAAAACACAAATTAGGTATTTTCCCTTGACTTTTCAATACCTTTCCCAACAAACTTTCTACCACATCCTCAAGTTCCCTAAATGTCTGTCTTCCTCCACTTTCCATGTTTTTTTCAATATGGTCCTTCTTGTTCTCTGTACTTCAGCAAACCCAACTGCCCTCTGTCCTTCTGGTTTCTGAGACTGTTTTTCTTATCAGGGCCTTTGTCTATACTCTGTTGCCCTAAAGTTCTCTTTTCCCAGTCCCAGGTGGTTGACTTATTCTCCTCCTTCCAGGTTTAGCTCTTGATTAGCACTTCCCTTCCTTCCTTCCTTCCTTCCTTCCTTCTTCATACTGAGAAAGAAAACCAGGGCTTCACACATTAGACAAATGCTCTACCACTGAAGTGCACCCCAAGTCAAGACCTGGCATAAACATCTCCATAGAAATGTCTTCCCTGAACATGGACCCATCAGCCTATCAAACATGGCATCTCCCATTTCCTAGTTTGAGCAAACATTTATCCAGGACTTCCCAGGTGTCATTATTCATGTCTTACACTAACTGTTTTAATTCTTCACAATCCCATGAAGTGGGCACAGTTCATTTTATCATATTCATCCCAAGAACAAGGAAACTGAGTCCAGGAGAGAATCACTTTCAAGGTCAAACAGTTAAGAGGTGGTCTCTGAATTTAATGTTCAACCCCGTATTACCTGCCTCTCTCGTGTTACATGTTATCTTTCAGCCCTTTTTACAATCTACATATCAATCAGTTATTTCTGTATTGTCAGCCTCCTCATTAGACTATAAGCAACATGTGGGGAAAAAAAATCACTAGATCCTCAATGCCCGTCACATGGTAGATGTTCAACAAATGTTTGCTGCATGAATGAATGAATGAATGAGACTAGGTAGAGATCTGGAAACTAAAACATTTATATCAATGCCTGCTCTTATTTTACCCCTCCCGCATTGTTCCCATCTGTGCAACCACAGATAATATGAGCAAATCATTTTGCTTCAGATGTCTGAATAACGATATTCACACTTTCTATATTTTTCAGAGCAGGTTTACTATGCTGGCCCAGTCAATAATCCTGGATTTGACATTTTTAAGGTAAAGTTTTGGCTTTGTGGTTTAACATATTCCTGAATTCTTGTATCATACAGTTCATTTCTTGAAGAAGGAAAGAAATAAAAGGAGAAGTAGGAGGAGGAAGATCAATGGAGTTGCCTAAATACTCTTAGCTCTTACACCAGAATCTGTATATCTCATAATCCATTGTGCAGAACCCTTTCTTTCTAATCTACATCTCGTCTTAGACTCATAAAACAATAATGAAAAACTCATTCAGTTTTCAACAATTTCATACATGCACATAGAGTTAAAAGAAAAATGGTGATGATGGTAATGATGAAAGCGGTGATGATGGTGACGATGGTGATGGTGGTGACGATGGTGGTGATGGTGGTGGTGATGAGGATGGTGACAGCAATGGTGGCGATGATGGTGGTGGTGGTGATGATGATGATGATGATAGTGATGATGGTGGTGGTGGTGGTGGTAAAATGCAATCAGTATAAATCTGAGCTGACCATTACCCATCATTAGTTCTCCAGCCTCTATGCTACTTTGGTAAAATTCCTAACATGATCCGACTGATATCTGACCTACAGAAGCACAGAACCCTTGAGGTGAATGATGCCTATGGTGACTCTAATTTAGTGGTGGCGAACCTATGGCACATATGCCACAGCAAGTATGTGCAGACCTCTCTGTCAACACACGAGCCAAATTGCCCCAGCAGCCGAGCACCAGATTTGTGTTTTCTAAATTCAGGATTAATTGCAGTGTTGGTGCTTTCGATGAATAAGTGGGTTTTGGGTCACAGTGTAGGTGCTCAGTCTCTAAAAGCTTTTCCATCACTGCTCTAATCAGTCCTCACACATCCACAGCACTGTCCAGAGCTGGCTCTGTCAGATGCAGTTTCCAGTGCTGAGGCATCAGCTCCCTCTGAGCTTTTGTCAATTGGTAGAAAGTTGTTCTCTGCTAGTAAAGACAGCTTCTCCTGCAACTTCTATCTAGTGGCCTGATTTATTCCTTCCCTCTGACTTTGTACAGATTAAATTCCTTTCCCCCTCTAGGTGACAGGCAGTTCCAAGATGTGCCAGGCATTTCTTGTGCCTTCTGCTTTCTTAGTCTCTTTGCTCTGTTTCCCACTGCTCCACACCACCCTGAGCCTTTTCTTCTTGACACACAACTGCCTGTGCATGGCAGGGTAGGGGGAGGTTGCAACCTACCTTCTGCCAGGCAGAAGTTAGCCAACTCCTGTGATTTTCCAACAATTCCTCACCAGCTGTGGCTGGCATAGCATCTTCTAAGTGACTACATGCCAACTACAAATACAGGGGTGCCCTCTCGGGAGTGCTGCTGCAAGACAGGAACCTGAAAGATGGCACTATTTTTTCTGACAGAGGGCATTTTGGCTCTGTGCTGTTGGATTTTGTTCCTCAGGAGGTCTTCTCCATCCCAGCAGATGACACTTCATCTTTCCAATCACACAGGCCAGGAACGTTGAGCTACCTTTCCTCTGTCTCTTCCCTCCCATCATCCATGTGAGCATCCTCAGCAAGTCCCAGAGGCTCTTCTTTCAAAATCAATCCAGAAACCAAGCCTATCCCTCTGTCTCCACCAAGTCCCCCACTCTCATCTGGATGACTAATTACCTCCTGCCTAGGCTTTCAGCTTTATCTTCTCTCCCTGTGACCTCTTTCTAGCACGTTAGCCAGTGAGATCCTACTAAAGATCAGACCCTCCTCCAGGGAAACTCACGCTCCAGTCCTTTTCAGGCTGGAATCTGAAGCCCCAAAAGTCATATGAAACCCTAAGAACCCAGCCTCCTGTGGACCCCCAGACTGCCTTCCTCTCCCTTCTCTGCTCCCTGCAGCCCCAGTAGCCTCCTGATTGACATCAGGTCCATGGCAGCGTAGTGCCCACCTGCACCTCCTGCAGTTCTTTCCCTTAATGTTGTCTTCCCAGCAGGCCTCCTTGACCACCTTACTCCAAGCCCCAACCATGTGAGTTTATCCCATGGATTGTGCATCTCTCCAAGCCCCATGGGTACTGAAAGCTCTACTTCATCCCCAGCAGTGCTCAATAAACACAGCAGACCTCAGGATGCATGGGGCTTTGTTTCAGGCCCCCTCACACACCAAAATCTGCAGAGGCCCATGTCCCTATATAAAGAGTTGCAGTATGGAATCTGTGCACACCCTCTTGTGTACTTTATTTTTTATTAGTATATTTTTAGTACATAATCTTTGCATTTCTTTGGGGAATTGATACGTGTACATAACACATTTCAATTCTTTTTTCAGCCTCTTTGTCTCCCCTGTCCATCCCTTTCTTAGTCTCCTTCCCATTTGAAAAACATCCATATCCCTACTTCCTATTATCTACCTTTTATTTTGCTTATTTATATTTTGAGTTTCTTATTTAAGAGAAACCCTATGCTATTTAAGCTTGTGTGTCTGGTTTATTTCCCTTAACTTTATGGTCTCAAGGTGCATCCACTGTCCTATAAACGACTCAAGGTAGTGCTCCATTATGAGTAAATACCCCATTTCCTTTATCCATTCATCTGTTGGTGAGTATATAGGTTGCTTCCAAGATTTTGTTATTATGAGTTGTGCAGCTATAAATATGGTTATGCACATATCACTGTAATATGATGTCTTTAGGGAAGATACCTAAAGGTGGAATAGCTGGGTCAAATGGAATTTCTAGTTTTAGCTTTTTGAGGTCTCTCCATACCAGTTTCCACGGTAGTGGTACTAGTTTGCATCCCCTCTGATGACATAGAAGGTTCCTTTTCCCCTGCAGCTTCTCTGGCATTTGTCATTATTTGATTTCTTGATGATAACCATTCTGTCTGGGTTAAGATGGAATGTCAATGCTGTTTTAATTTGCATTTCTCTAATGGCCAGTACTTCCTGTATACTTTAAATCTTCTTTAGATGACATTTAATACCTAATACAAGTAGGTGCTATGTCAATCCTGGTGATACCACACTGGTTAGGGAATGACAGCAAGGAAGAGTGAACATGTTTGGTACAGGTGCATTTTGGGGAGGACTCTGACCTGTGGTTGGCTGACTGTGGAAGTCAGGCCCTAGGGCACGCTGGGCTGGCTGTATTTGTCAAATGCTTGACTGCACTGTGGGTCTCATGCAACACTTTGCGGTGTCTATTGTAGGGAGAATACCAGATTTTGCTGGAACTGTATAATGAAAAACGTGCCACTGTGGCTTGTGCCAACGTGACTGTCATTTGCTCCTGACCTTGGTCTGCAGTAGAAGTACAGCAAGCTTGGACTCACGGACACTCCAGAGGCCACAGGTTCACCTACTTGGGAAGAAGAACCAGCTGGTGACAGCAAGGAGCTCTACACAGAAGCCTCCCGACAGTACAGCTGCTACTTTCCACCACCCAGGCAGTGGACGGCACGAAGCCCCGAAGTCATCTGCTTCCCAAGAGCCCCTCAGTCATCCCTAAGCAGCCTCGGGAGCCCCTGCTTCCCAAAGGAGTCACCCCTCCTCCAGCCTCCTCTTCCTCAGCTCCTTAGGAATGTCTTCCCTCAGGCAACCAGAATAAAGAATGCAGCCCACAACTGGCTTCATGGCTTTTTCAAAGAATCTTAATATAACATTGTAATTTCCTTTTTTTGATGATGGGGGGGTACCAGGGATCAAACTCGGGACTTTGCACTTATCAGGAAGGCGGCAGAACCACTGAGCTAAATCCCTCGCCTAGTCATTTTCCTTTTTTAAAAAAATAAATTTTATTTTATTTTATCCCATAACCTAAAATAGTGAGTGAGAAAACAGAAAGGCCAAATCCTGATCCCAACCCAGACTTGTTAGAGAGGGAGAGCTGATAGTCTCATCACCTGGATTTCAGATTGAATTGGTTGGATTTTCCTCAGCCAGTAAAGTAAGCACATAGGCCTAAATCCCAATCATTTTGTCAGGGATACATGGAGCCTACAGGAGTTGAGAGAGTTGTTTCACCTCTAGTTTATATTTTGCCTCACTATTCAGTTTCAAACCGAAGCCCTCAGATATTGGCTTACCTTCTTTTCCTCCCTCTGACCCACTTTCTTTGGCATATGCTATGGTTGGAATAAGTGTCCCCCAAAGAGGCCTGTGTCAAAGGTTTGGTCACCCAGGTGCTACAAACGGGATGCAGTACAAACTTTAGGAGATGGGACTTACTAGTAGGGACATGTGTCCATGAGGGCCCGGGCCCCTTCTTCCTTCTTTTTTGTTTCCAGAAAGAGGACAGAAATGGTTTTGCTCCCCACAACCTGTTCCCACCATAATGTGCTTCCCCATCTTGGAGCCCAGCATTCCTGGACCAGACCCTCCAAAATCGTGAGCCAAACTATACCTTTTCTATTTATCAGCTGGTTATCTCAGGTATTCTATTAGAACAATTGAAAGCAGAATGACATGACAGATGTGTGAGACAAAAAACAAATTCTTTCCTTCAATATCTCAGAGGGAGGATCCAACATCAATATTCCTTTAGCTGAAAACAATAGTTCCTTCTTCCAGGTGGTATTTGTCTGGATTTCTCTGAAACCCAACCAAAGGACAGAAAGACAGAAAATACCCAGGCCACTGAAATCTGTCTGACTCCAAATCCACTCTTTCTATCTGACATTGCCCCAGCTGTTTGGTTAGAGATGCTACTGTAAAGGAATACATTGTGATTTTAGTTGTGAGGTTGCAGAATGTGTTAAGTCAAGCAGCAAACCAGCTAAGAACAAAAGTAGGTTAACAAAAGCTTGAAATTAATTTACTGATGAGAGCAGAAAAGGAAATAAAAGATCACGGTGTGTAAGGAATGGTACTGAATTACTAGGCTTCTTGGAGGAATTCTGCTATGCTACTGAACAAAAACCTGTGGTTACTCACTCACTTTTAGCCCCGCTTGGATAAATGGTCCAGAAAATCTAGCATTTTCCACTGTCCCACCCGCAGGCATTTATTCAGTACCTACTACTTGCTGAGCACTATAGTAAGTATAATACAGAGAATACTAAAATGATGATATATAACATAATTCCTGTTCAAATTCAGCTTATCTTTTAGGCAAAGAGAAGAAGGAAAGAAAAATCTCTTATGATGGAGGGGCATGGTAAGTCACAAAAGAGAACTAAGCAACCTGGCTTCGAGGCAGAGACCTTGTGTGACTTGGGTCATGGAGGAATGTGAGCTAGACATTGAACAATGGGACCTCAGAAGTGCCAGTCCCAGCTGTGGATCCCTGGCCATAGGAGTTGGTATTTCATTACCAGGAAGAGGAACATGCTGTATTTCTGCCACCATCAGGCAGTGAAATTCAATTTGGGCAGAGTGTACAATAAGGAAGTCTTCCCCCAAGTGTAGGCTTTCCTGTTAACACTTACTTGTGACTCCTGAAACTAAAAGAAGCAACAAGTGTTTATTGAGACCTGCAAGAGGCCAAGATCCCTACAGCCACTCTAAGCCTCTCCCCTTGCCAAGAGCCTGGTTTTTACCTGCCTGAGCCATTGCTATTGTGCCCCTCCCTGGTCCAACGTGCTCCTCTCACAGTGTGCCCACAACTCTTCCTGCTGGACTCATACAGTCTGAATCCACGGGAGAGTGTAGACACTGTGAGGCTGATCCAGTGGGTGAGGGTTCCCTGGAAGGTTCCCTGAGGATGGGATGGATGAAGGGAGGAGACATCGTGAGATTATCTTACGAAGGGGGTCAGAACATGGAAGCAGCATCAATACCCAGAACAAAAGCTGTGTAGAAAGAGCAGAGACTGGAGCAACAAGGACACAAGAGCCAGAACCAGCCATTTTGAGGGCAATAAGCAGACAGGCTGGGAAATGGATGGTAGACATGGTGCTCACAGAGGCCTCCATGTGGCCCTGATGCAGGGCCAGGAGAGTCAGGGCGGTGGCCATCTAACCCTCTGTACTTGTCTGCTTTTGTCTCACATTCACCTTTCAGAGCCTGCTGTGGTACCACATAAAATATAATCTCAATGAGCCATAACTTTTGTATGACTCAGAACAATGGTTTTTGTAACTTCACTTCTTCCCTCCTATTTCTTCCTCTGCCCACTTCATTTTGGGGAATTATATGTAAGAAATCCAGAAGTGAGTTAATTTCAAAACTCCACTACTTGGCTATTCAGAATCAAGTCCAACCTCTGCAGCTCTGAATAAAAACTCTCTCTGGCATGGGTGCCAAATGTCATAGGCACAGAATCCTAAAAAAAAAAAAAAAAGTTATTAAATTAAGAACAACTTTGGAACAAAACTGAGTCTGTTACTGGGTTCTGTGGTTCTGGGAACTCATTCTAAAAAATCTTCTGTAGGTTCCTGTCCTGAACAAAGAAAGAAAACAAGCACAGAAAATAATGAGGTTTTTATACTTATTAAAAGGGGGGGGGGGAATGCTCCACAGAGCAAGTGTGGACCAGAAGTACACTCTGCACAATGGCCACTGTCTTTTATATCCCCCCTTACCAGGCTGATAGCAGGTCTAGGCTGTCCAATCAAAAACCTGCTCAAGTTCTCAAGAAGAAATGAAGATAGCTCTCTGTGATTGGTTCCAGATGCAAGACTTTGGGTACTGTTCTGCACATGTGTTCCTGAAACTCTGTGTTTAACAGGTCAGGCCCACTTCCCCAGCCATTTTTCTGTGCCCTAATCTCCCACCTCATAAACTTTAGCAGAAAGCATTGTACTGTCCTCTCTAAACATTTTCAGCATGAAAGTGATGATGTGGGCATCCTGCTGTGGGTAGGCCCTGGGCAGAGGCAGAACGGGCAGCCTAGGATCCCAGCTCCCAGCCCCTTGGCTTTGTAACACAACCATGAAGAGAGACAAGCTAAAGCCAGATTTGATTTCACAAGGGATTTGAAGAGATGCCAGGGCACCTGCAGCACTGGATGGGGACCGAGTGGCAAGGTGACACAGCCCACAGGTAGGACAGAGAAAGTGTATTCCATGAAACTAGAGGGGAATCAGCACAAAAGGAAGGGATGGCAAGCTGGGCCTAGGCATGAGGGCCATGCTGCTCCAACATACACACAGTGCCAGTGAGGTTCTGCCTTTCAGGAGCTGCGAGATCTTGGGGACTTGAGCTGGCACAAGGCTTCCAGAAATAACCAAGGTAAGAAGTAAAAAGATCCTGAAAAGATTCTGTAACATGCCTGTGAGGTTTAAGTCCATGGTGTCTAATCAAGTTGTTACTGCTCAAGAGTCTTCACATGAACCCACTACTGGCATATCACATATCCAGCTTTCCCTGTCAAATAAGACTTGTCTTCCTCTTGTAGAGCCATGCCAGAATGAGGATCCCATTCGCTTCTTGAGCACTGCACGCCAGCTCCTTCTGTACCCCACCACCATCACCATCTGGACGTCCACCTGGACCTCCTTGTGGCACCCACAATGTCCCTAAAGTGTTGTTTTTCTTCTGCTTTCAGACAGCATGCATTGTTCTTATTACAAATAGAATCATTCTTCCCTCTCCTCCTGACTATGAGTCCTGGAACCTTTGGTCTGAGCATATTTGGGGCTGAAACTCAACCCCTGCCCCATACAGCCTGTCCATCTACCTCACCACCAAAGTAAATTTGTAGGGAAGTCTAGAGAAGATGAAACTCCAAACCCAGGGTAATGTACAAAGCATTAGACATTTAAGGATATGACAAGAATGAAATTAGAGAACATTATCCTAGCAACACAGATATGTTTACAACTAACATTAGTCAATCACTCAGAGCTTTGTTGTGTCCCTGACTTCCTAGGTTCCATAAACAAAAACAGAAACATATATGACCTTGACTTCAAGTACATGAGCCAAAAGCCATATAAGGTTTAAGTGACTGAGTAGGGTAAGAGGTGCTGATTTGGCTAATGGGATAGGAGAGGCATTAGAGATGCTGTAGAGCAGGCTCTCACCACATAACATAAGCCCTAGGCACACTTCCAACATGTAGCACAGCCTTTGTTTCTGTGAAACTATGCTTTTCATTCAGCCAGAATCAAAGACAGTGCTCAGAATCCCCACCAACATAGATGGCGTCTTTGTGTGGATTATAACAGGGGTTGATGGCACATAAATTGGCAAGCAGATAGCATCTTGAGCAAAGGAAAGAGATATACCACAGCACAGAGCTTTGGCAAACGGCACATGCTGGAGTTCAGTTCCCACTCTCCCCGGCCAAGGGTTCCAGTGCAGTCCCCACCCTATGAGAGCTCACCCGACAGCACAGTTCAAGCTTTGAGATTTTCTGCCACATGGCATGTGTTGAATGAAGAAAGACAGCTAAATAAACATAGTTTCAACCTTAAGAAGATACGTCTTCCTGTAGATTGATGTCCATTGATCTCATTATCACGCCACCCTGTCCCAGCCCCAACTTACCCCCAAACCTCCAAATTTAATAAGTAAACTTCCCAGCTAAAAGTTATCTGGAGGCAAAACTGTTCAGAGAAACACATTAGCTTCCCTTCTGATCTTACAGCCTCCCCTGTCACTGTTCATATTTACTGGGGACAAACTTGTTCCATTATTTTAAAAAATGTCTTAAATTCCCCTGGTCCATAACA